GATTTCACTTCCAGATTTAAAGTAAAAAATATATTTTTGTACTTTTTGCTTTCATTCACTTTTTTTTTTCAGCAGTGAAGTCATTTTGGAATATTCCTTACTGGATGCTCTTGTTGGCCTGTGCTTCCTTGCCTTTTTTTTGTTTTTTTTTTTTTTTTTTTTTTTTTTTTTGAGGCAGAGTCTTGTTTTGTAACCCAGGCTGGATGTGGGGGTGTGACCGTGGCTTACTGCAGCCTTAACCTTACTGGTTCAAGTGATCCTCCCACCTCAGCCTGCCAAGTAGCTGGGACTACGGGTGCGCACCACCACACCTGGCTAATTTTTAAAAATTTTTTTGTAGAGACAGGGTCTCCCTGTGTTGTCCAGGCTGGTCCAGAACTCCCGAGCTCAAGCGATCCTCCTTCCTCGGCCCCCCAAAGTGCTGGTATTATAGGCATGAGCCACCACACCTGGCCTTCTTTTCAGTTTTTTAAAAAATATTTTTCTGGCCAGGTGTGGCGGCTCACACCTGTAATCCCAGCATTTTGGGAGGCTGGGGCACGTGGATCAGTTGAGGTCAGGAGTTCGAGATCAGCCTGACCAACATGGTGAAATACCATCTCTACTAAAAATACAAACCTTAGCCAGGCGTGGTAGTGCACGCCTGGAATCTCAGTTATTTGAGAGGCTGAGGCAGGAAAATCGGTTGAACCTGGGAGGTGGAGGTTGCAGTAAGCCCAGATTGCAACACTGCACTCCAGCCTGGGCAACAGTGTGAGACTCTGTCTCAAATAAATAAAAAATATATAAATAAATTTTTCTTTCTTTTCCTTTTTTTGGATTAAGATATGTTACATATAATAGAATTCACTTTTTTCGGTCTACTTTCTGTGAACTTGATGAACACGGTTGTGTGACCACTACCACAATCAAGATGTGCAGCAGTTCTGTCACACTACCCCATGATCCTTTGTAGTCATCCCTCTTCCACCCCTACGCCCTAGCAGTCACTGGTCTATTTTCCATCCCAGTAGTTTTCTCTTACCCAAAAAGTCATAGCCATGTAATTAGCCTTTTGATTCTGGCTTTTTAAAGTTAGCTTATTGCATTTGAGATTCATCCATGATTTTGTTCCTTTATGTTGTTGAGTAGTATACCATTGTATGGATGTACCACAGTTGTTTACGCATACACCAGTGAGGGACTTTTGGGTTGTTTCTAGTTTTTTACAGTTGTGAATAAAACCACTAAGAACATCACACGCAGATTTTTGCGTGGATTTAGGTTTTCATGTCACTTGGATAAATACCTCGGGTAGGATCACTGGATCATATGGTAAGTGTATATTTATTTTCATGCGAAACTGCCAAACTGTTTTGCAAGTGGCTTTGTCATTTTGCATCCCATCAGCAGCGTATGTGAGCTTCTGTTGTTCCATGTTGTCATCAGCTCTGGATGTTGTCAGGTCTTTCTTGTTTTGTTATTTTTAAATGTTAGCCACTCCAATATATGGGTTTGTTTTCTATTTTACATTACTAAGTAATTTAGTTTTCTATTCTGGACTCTTAACTGGAGTTAGGTAAGCAGCTAAGCTGTAAAATTCCATGAATTTAAATTTCTAGGTAGTGTTAAGGACTATGCATGCCCTTAACACTAATCACGCGCATCGTATGTTTTTCATCATATGCGTTATATTTTGTGTCATCTTTTGCAAATTTGCTTCGAAATGGCTAGAACAGTCTAATGATTTTGGATTTCTAAAGATTTATAATGGTATTAGAGTTTTTTTTAGTTTTTTGTATACTATGAGGAATATCTCAGTTTTGCTAACTGAGATTTTTCTTCTCAAAGTTCATTTTTGCTAAAGTTTTCTTAGGTAACCTTAATGTACTTGGAATGCAAGTGTTTTTTTCCCCAAACAAGCCTGGAGAATTTCTTTCTCAAAAATTTCTGAAACTTGTTTTCTAAGTGCGTAGCATAGACCAGAAGCAGATGAAATATGTAGGCTTATGTATGTTTATGGTGAGGTACACTGTATGTACCCGTCTTCAGAAAAACATTCACATTTCTAAACCTCACTACAGAGAACACCTCTCAGATTTAGTGACACGTCTGCTTTGTTTAGTGTTTTTATAACGTATTTCTCCAAAGCCAGAGGTGGTAGGTATCTGCATTTTTTTAACGAATAGGACTATTCGTATGTGTTTAATGTCAGTTACCACAGTCCCCTAGCACTGGTTATTTAAGTGCATTTTATTTTCTCCTGCTAGTCAGTATGCTCCTTGAGGACAAGGATTCTGTCTCATTAATCTTGGGTCCCCACAGCTTCTCTAGAATCTAGCACAATGCATAGGAACTGCTCAGTTAACACTAAATGAATGAATCTTTAGGGAGATGCAGGGTTTTGATTTTGTTTTTGCTTTGTTTTTAAGACAGTCTGTGTCACCTAGGCCGTAGTGCAGTGGTGCAATCTCAGCTCACTGCAGCCTCTGCCTCCCAGTTCAAGTGATTCTCATGCTTCAGCCTCCCAAGTAGCTGGGTTTACAGGTGCGTGCCACCACACCCGGCTAATTTTTGTATTTTTAGTAAAGATAGGGTTTCACCTTCTTGGCCAGGCTAGTCTCAAACTCCCGACCTCAGGTGATCCACCCACCTCAGCCTCCCAAAGTGCTGGGATTATAGGTATTAGCCACCGTGGCCAGCCAGAAATGCAGTTTTATTAGTTATAAGTATAGATAAGAGCAGAAGTGTTTTGCAGTTCTCAAGCATGTATTCCCTGAAATGTCATCTCTCTCTGTTCATTAATATCAGCCAATGTTTGCATCTACTGTGGGTTAAATATATATGGTATGTGAGTTAGAAGCAGTCCTTGCCGGCCGGACGCAGTGGCTCATGCCTGTAATCCGAGCACTTTGGTAGGCTGAGGCGGGCAGATCACAAGGTCAGGATATCAATCAAGACCATCCTGGCTAACACGGTGAAACCCCTTCTCTACTAAAAATACAAAAAATTAGTCAGGCTTGGTGGCACGTGCCTGTAGTCCCAGCTAGTTGGGAGGCTGAGACAGGAGAATTGCTTGAACCCGGGAGGCAGAGGTAGCAGTAAGCCAAGATCACGCCACTGCACTCCAGCCTGGGCGACGGAGCGAGACTCTGTCTCAAAAAAAGAAAAGAAATAGTCTTTGTCCTAAAGGGGTTTACAGTCTGCTGAAGACGGTAGATGTGAATGTTCAGATACTGTAATCTAAAGTAGAGTAAGGGAGAATCAAAGGAAAGATACAAAGTAAATTCCCTAAGTGCTTATAGAATGGAGAGATTCATCAGCTCTAGGTCATCAGGAAAGTCTTCCTGGAAGAGGCCATCTTTGAAATGAGGCTGGGTGCGGTGTCTCACACCGGTAATCCCAGCACTTTGGGAGGCTGAGGCAAGCAGATTGCTTGAGCCCAGGAGTTCCAGATCAGCCTGAGCAACATAGCAAGACCTCATCTCTATTAAAAAATAAATAAATGAAAAGAAATGAGCCTTTGCAGGTGTTTAGAGTGGGTGAACATAAGGAATGAAGATATAAAAGTTTGTGGTGTGTTCAGGAAACAGTATAATTAGGATGTGTGGCAAGAAGCACCTGAACGGATAGACTAAGTATTGTCAAAGGCTTTGAGTGACAGGATGAAGAGTTTATTCTTACTTGTAGATACTGGGGAGCCATTAACTATTTTTGAGCAGGGATGTTATTATGTGATGGTATCTGTGCCTTAAGTTAAATTGGCAGCAGCCTTTTATACGGCAGATTCTTTGGAAGGAGAGATAAAAGCAGGGAAACTAATTTGGAACCTTATGGAGTTACCCAGGCAAGAAGTAACAAGGACTATAACCAAGTTGGAAGCAATAGGTTGGAATGAAATGGGTGTGTTCAGAATAGAGGTAGGCTCTATATGGCCTTGTAACTGCTCAGATGCAGAAGCTGGGAAAGGATGATTTGAATGCTGGAATTCCTGAACCAGTAAGTCTGCTGCTAGTGGAAAAACAGGGGCCCCCAAGGAGCTGATTTTGAGGGGAAGATGATAATTTTGGTTCCAGATGCTTTGAGTCATCGTGATTTCCTAATGGAGATAATTAGCAGGTACTGAACATCTTTGATTTGGGAGGGAAGTTTAAGAGATTTAGAAGCCATGTGTGTGGCTATGTTGTGGGTACTGATGAGATCCCTAAAACAGAAGGGGAACAGTTTTAGTAGGAACCAAAGTGTTAAATCCACAGTTCCTCATCACCTAGGGAATTTTTCTAAAATGCACATTCCTTGGCTCTACCTCCAGATATTCTCATTCATCGGGTCTGGATGGGACCCAGGAATCTGCATTTTTATCAAGCCCCACAGAAGATCAGGATACCAACAGTCTTGAGTCTCACTTTGAGAAACATTGATTGAAGGACGGAGTGCTAAACTAACATCTTTCCTCTTGCTGTTCTTATTTGAGACACCTCTCCCAGCAATATTACCAGTATTTTAAATGGAATGAAATGTTTTACTTTCTTAAAAAGTATGATATGCCATTGGGTTTTTTTGTTTTGTTTTGTTTTGTTTTTTGAGGTGGAGTCTTGCTCTGTCACCCAGGCTGGAGTACAGTGGCATGGTCTCGGCTCACTGCAACCTCCGCCTCCCAGATTCAAGTGATTCTCCTGCCTCAGCCTCCCTGGTAGCTGGGATTGCAGGCACATGCTACCATGCCCAGCTAATTTTTGTATTTTTGGCCAGGCTGGTCTCGAACTCTTGACCTCAAGTGATCCACCTGCCTCAGCCCCCCAAAGTGCTGGGATGTGAGCCACCGCACCCAGCCCATATGCCGTTGATTTTGTTGGAAATTGGCAAATTGTTTAGAGTAGTCATTGAGTTCCATAGAGTTGTTTTCTTTTAATATATGTTCTGTGAACTCAATTTCTCAAGAAGATTGGTCTAACCTATACTTTTAACAGCAATAAAAGTGATTTATAATTAGTATAATATAACTTTGGAAGTAGAACCCTGAATTCATTCAGCCTTTAATATGTTTCTATGATGATAGGCCCTGTGAAGAAGTTAGTTTATGGCGAATTTTAACCTATGTGTGTAATTTGATTTCTGCTCTTCTTTTCAAATGGAAAGCAAGATACTTTTGCCTTGAAGCTAATCATTTGCTAATTTGCTTCAGTTAAGATTCTCTTTGTGTTTGGGTATGTGGATTGGGGAAGGGAGCACCAGCATTTCAAGCAAATCTTATTTCTATCTTAAAGACACTGGTAAAAATGTCCCCTGAGTAGTTTCTTGGTTTCTCTTTTTTTTAAAATTTTTTGAGACAGGGTCTTGCTCTGTGCCCAGGCTGGAGTGCAGTGGCATGATCACAGCTCACCACAGCTTCAACCTCCCAGGCTCAAGCAATCTTCCTGCCTCACTCAGCCTCCCAAGGTCTGGGACCATAGGCACAAGCCACCACACCCAGCTTATTTTATTGTATTTTTTTTAGTAGAGACACAGTCTCACTATGTTGCCCCATCTAGTCTCGAATTCCTGGGCTCAAGTGATCCTCCTGCCTCGGCCTCCCAAAGTGCTGGTATGACAGGCATGGGTCACTGTGCCCAGCTTCTTGTGTTCTTATAGAGTAGAGGTTTAAGGAAAAACTTAGAAAAGATTCTTATATATTTGAGAGAATGTGGGGGCTTTTACGGAAACGTTCAGTCTAATGCTGGTAACTTTTGAACTTTAAAATATTTTTATTTGTTAGTTTGTACTTCCCTCCCTGCAAACCCCCCGCCCGACCCCGTGATCTTATAAGAATTAACATGGAGGCTATGTAGTTACAGTAGTCCAGTGATGAGAAAAAAGTTAACTGCAATTAACCTCCTGAAAATTTTTCCTCACTAATATTAGTTGTTCTAAGCGGTAGTCAAATTATCACTAATACTGTTCGTTGCTTATGGTCAGTGTAAAACATTTTGTAATTAGTATGAGGAGTGTGATAAACTCCTGTGCAATGGTAAAATCATTCTAAAACACAATTTGTTAAAAGTCAGAATATTTTCAGTGACATACATAACATTTATTGCTACTCTGGTTAGGCATGTGGAATGTTACAGAAAAATCCATTAAAATATTATTTTTGGCTTTAAAAGTTCTTGATGTGACTTTTATAAAACATATATTCCTTTTCAGAATAAGATGAAATCATTGGCTTCCAAAGGAGTACCAAGTGTAATTTCGGAAGATACATTAAAAGGTCAGGATTCCTTGTCAACAGATACAGGACAGTCCCGTCATCCAGAGGAATTATCTGGTGCTACTGGAATGGAGCAAACAGAATTGGAAGATGAGCCTCCTCATCAGATGGATCACCTGTCCACAAGCTTGGATAACCTCAGTGTCACCTCACTGCCAGAGGCCTCAGTTGTTCGTCCAAACCAGGATTACAATTTAGTGAATTCTTTGTTAAATCTTACTAGAAGTCCTGTGAGTTATGGTCCTTACTTTTTTCATCCTAATATTATTTCAATAATGTGCATTTATTTATTTATTTATTTTTATTTTTATTTTATTTTATTTTATTTTTGAGACGGAGTCTTGCTCTGTTGTCCAGGCTGGAGTACAGTGGTGCGATCTTCGCTCACTGCAACCTCTGCCTCTGGGTTCAAGCGATTCTCCTGCCTCAGCCTCCACAGTAGCTGGGATTACAGGTACGCACCACCATGCCGGCTAATTTTTGTAGTTTTAGTAGAGATGGGGTTTCACCATGTTGGCCAGGCTGGTCTCAAACTCCTGACCTCAGCTGATCCACCTGCCTCAGCCTCCCAAAGTGCTGGGATGACAGGCGTGAGGTGCCCCTTGGCCAATAATGTGCATTTAAAATACACAAAAAAGCCTATTTTTTTTCTTTTACTGTAAAACATTAAATCCTTTTATATTGAATTTTTTCAAACAACCTGATGTATATACAATTCAAGAATTGAAGGGGTTTGGTTTTTTTTTTTTCCTTTAGGATGGCCGAATAGCTGTGAAGGCATGCGAAGGCTTGATGCTGTTAGTAAGTTTGCCAGAGCCTGCGGCTGCAAAGTGCCTTACACAGAGCACTTGCTTGTGTGAACTACTGACAGACAGACTTGCCTCCCTGTACAAGGCCCTACCTCAGTCAGTGGATCCATTAGATATTGAAACCGTGGAAGCAATTAACTGGGGGTAAGCACCGTTACTTGTATTTTCCCATAAAGGTGACTTCTTACACCTACACTTTAAAATCCATTTCTATTTTGCAATGATAGAAATCTTTGAAAAATTGAACACTACTAGTGATCATTAAATGGGAATATTTTCTCAAAGTTTGTATTAAATGTATCAGTCAGTGGTAATAAGTGTGGGAACAATCCAGCTGTTATATAGTTAAGATATTTTTATTTTGTCCATTATAGTGGTCAATTTTTAAGGGCTTACATTAAAAACAATAATTTTAGCTCATTATTTTTATCAAAAAAGGCCCTAAAAGAAGGAATCTCCTTTTAAAATAATTTCCACAGCCTCTAAAGCAGTCTAATCTGTCTCCTGGCCTGTTTGTACAGAATCTCTTCTACCTCATTGTTTCACCTCTTCTTCCTACCTTTTAGACTCCCCAACTTGATTCTCATAGGGAAATATGATTATTGCAGAATGTTTGTAAGTTATTAAAAGGTATAAAGCAGCATAAACAAGTTGCCCATAATCCCACCACCTATAAGCAGCCTAATGTTTTGACATAATCACCTTTTATTGTATTTCTCTGTATTTTTAACCTGTCTTTGTTTTTTCCACTCTATTTTCTGTCAACATCTATAGGGCAGACCCACTTGTTAACATTACGACTGTATTGCATTTTAGGGCAGGAAGAGAAGTAGTCCACTCGCTATTTTTGTTTGTAGATCCCCCTTTACCATGCTTTTCTTCCATCCCAGCAGCTGGGAACCTCCATCTTTTCATTGATGTTACTTGGTAACATTTAGGGCAGGAGTGTGAGGACCTATCCCAGTGTTTTTTCTCCTGCAGCTCCATTCTTTTCTCTTTTTTTTTGAGACAGAGTCTTACTACATCACCCAGGCTGGAGTGCAGTGAAGCGATCTCGGCTTACTGCAACCTCCACCTCTCAGGTTCAAGCAATTCTTGTTCCTCAGCCTCCCAAGTAGCTGGGATTACAGGCATGAGCCACCATGCCTGGCTAATTTTTTTTTTTATTTTTTTATTTTTTTTTCTAAGTAGAGAGAGAGAGTTTCATCATATTGGCCAGGCTGGTCTCGAACTCCTGACCTCAAGTGAGCCACGCACGTCGGCCTCCTAAAGTGCTGGGATTACAGGCGTGAGCCACCACATCTAGCCTCCTGCAGCCCCATTCTGCTTTAATCTCTCTTCTCCTGCTTAATATGTGAAAATTATTTACAGCTCTTATTTAAAAGGTTTTGTCTTTGGTTTCTTTTATGGAACCTTCCTCTGACAGTCCTCCAGCATTGCCTGTGTGAATGTACCATACTATCTGAGTGTGTTCATGTGCTTTCATTTTTCCGTACATTCTGAATAGGGTCCATGCTTTTGGATAACTTTGGACTTAGCAATTCTTCCTTGTCTTACAGCTTGGACTCATATAGTCATAAAGAAGATGCTTCAGCATTTCCAGGAAAACGAGCCTTAATTTCATTTCTTTCCTGGTTTGATTATTGTGATCAGCTCATTAAAGAAGCCCAAAAGGTTTGAAATTTTGTGTTGTTTTTTGATGGTTTTAAGATATAAATATCTACTAAGTGAAATTGGAATCCCTAATTTATATCCCCAAATGCATTTTAATTGTCTTAGAATACCATGGTTAGTAAAATAAGTAAACAAAAAGGTGTGTATGTGTTTGTATGTGTGTATTACAGTTCTGCCCTTTTATATTTCCTTAAGTATTACGGTGCAGTGCTTTACAAAGTAACACTGACTTCCCTTCAGTCCTGCTCTTTGATGAGATGTTAATACTATATGGACACTGGAATAATTTTTTGTCCTATTCCTCTTATTCTTGGAAATTTAGAAAAAAGTGTAAATGACCCAGTAGCCAACATCTAAACTAGATTTATATGCCACCAACAAGAGAGTCATTAGGCAAGTTTTGTCTTTCCACATTAAGTCAGTTGGGGAGTGCAAACTGATTTATTGATGTTACAAATTATTCTTTCTTTTATATTAAAAAAAATGATGTTCCTACTATATTCTAGACTGCTGCTGTTGCTCTTGCCAAAGCTGTTCATGAAAGATTTTTCATTGGTGTTATGGAACCTCAATTAATGCAAACGTGAGTAGCCTGTTTTCTTTTGGGGAAAAAAAAAAAAACCGCATCCCTGTGTCATGTTATTAATTCCCTGTTCGTTGTGCTCAGTTCTGAGATGGGTATTCTGACATCCACTGCTCTGCTTCATCGCATCGTTCGGCAAGTGACCTCTGATGTTTTACTTCAAGAAATGGTGTTTTTTATCCTTGGAGAACAGAGGGAACCAGAAACTGTGGCAGAAATCAGCAGACATCCATTAAGGCATAGGTTAATTGAACATTGTGATCACATATCTGATGAGGTGAGCTATGTAATGATTTAGAATTGGACTTAGATTCTTTGGAATACTGGTTTTAATGTATTATACTTGAGATATTTTCAATACAGCCTCTTTTATTGGCTTTAGAAATTGAAAGCATGACTCACAAGATGGCAAGAAGAATAACTTATTTAAAGATATTTTCAGTTAGCTTTTATCAATTTTGGTTTCAGATAAGCATAATGACATTGCGAATGTTTGAGCATCTCTTACAAAAACCCAATGAGCACATTCTTTACAACTTGGTCTTGAGAAATCTTGAAGAAAGAAATTATACAGAATGTAAACCTTTGTGCCCAGAAGATAAAGATGTGGTGGAAAATGGACTGATAGCAGGAGCAGTGTAAGTTTCCATCCAACTCCGTGAGTTCAGCATTTCATATAGAGGGAGAACTTTCTCCTCTTATCTATCTCCCTTATCCTCAAAAGAAATACCTCTTACAGTTTTAAAGTTCTTAAAAGTAAAATTAGATGCATTGATACCACCATCCGTCTACATTATAAATAATATTGTGTATTCGTTAGATCTAATAACAAAATAGTATAGAATGTTAATTTGCCTAGAAAATATACATTATTCCTTAATCCTTTATAGTAGCAAAATTATGTAACATTTTCTTAGAACATAGCAGAGAATCTTTTGGTTTAGAAAATGTCATAATAAAATAGTGTTTTTCATATGTCATTAAATTTAACTTAGAGATCTGGAAGAAGATCCATTATTTACTGACATTTCACCAGAAAACACTTTGCCAAACCAAGAGTGGCTTAGTTCTTCGCCTCCTGCTACTCCAGACCACCCCAAAAATGATGGAAAAACTGAAGTTCATAAAATTGTAAATAGGTGAGTTGCTATATAAAATTTGACTTCCATCTCTCTTGTTTTTTGTTTTTTATTGTTACTATTTTTTGAGATGGAGTCTTGTTCTGTTGTCCACGCTGGAGTGCAGTGGTGCGATCTCTGCTCACTGCAACCTCCGCCTCCTGGGTTTAAGTGATTCTCCTGCCTCAACTTCCCAACTAGCTGGGATTACAGGCTCCCACCACGTCATCCAGCTAATTTTTGCATTTTTAGTAGAGACAGAGTCTCACCATGTTGGTCGGGCTGGTCTCAAACCCCTGACCTCAAGTGATCTGCCCACCTCGGCCTCCCAAACTGTATAACATGTAAGAGCTCTGTTCTTAGATGGTTACAGAAATCTCTTATGAAAAAAAAAAAGGAAAAACATAATAAATAAATAAATAAAGATTATGTCAGTTTTTTTGGTCTTGCTTATGTGCCAGCCTGTGGGCAATGCTTGATACTAAGAGAAAAGCTCTACTTAATATTAACCATGGTTAAATGAACCCTCAAAGTACCTTTTTTTTTTTTTTTTGA